CCCCAAAACCCCAAAACCCCAAAACCCCTTTTACAGATTTAAATTTTGAGATGTTTAAAATGAATTAGAAGCGCGTTAGGAAAGAGAAATATGGAAGAAGGGGATTAGATATCTGTCTCATAAAACCTAGGAGGTGTGTTCATTATTTTATTATTGTCCCGATGTCTACTTCATTCATGAAGCATTTGTTCTACATCTTCTCCAACCAAATTGTACCACTACAGAATGATTGCCGATAAAGCACTTACCTGGTTGCATTTTTCACAAGCTTGGCCCTTTCTTTTTCTTCGTTCTTCCCTATCCCTTCATGCTTCTCTAAATTTGTGTTTAAAAGGCCTGGCTTCATTATGTTTTTGCTCTTCATCAGAATCTTCGATATTTTCCACCTCCTTCAGTTCAGTAACCTCTTTGCTACTGATCTCTTGTACTGAAAAATCTTGATGTTTTATTGGACTCTTACCATCTGTAAGAGGGACAGAGGATTCATTATCATAATCTGAGGTGCTTTTCCGTCTGCTCTCCCTCATTTTAGCCTCTCATAAAGCAGATTCGCTATCTGCACTGACAATTATCTCATAGTCTTCCTCTATATGGTGAAAATTTAAGAGTTACCAGCTTCGCTTTGATCTGGCTCCTTTTGAGTCTTTTTAGGCCTCTTAGCTTTCTTTTTGTTATTACTCTTCATCTTTTTCTTGGCATTTTTCTTTTTAGCTGCTGGCTTCTTTGGAGGTGACTTCTCTGGAGGTTTCTCAGGAGATTTCACATTCTTATCATCATTTTCTGAGTCAAAATTGTGAAAAACATCGTATGTCTTTTTATTCTTTTTGCCATTAGACTTATCCTTCTTCTCAATGATCCAGCCAGTTGTTCGACTAACTTTATGAGTCTTTTTGATTGAGACAAGGCTGGAGGAGTCTTCCTTGTCATTCTTCTTAACTCTTTTCGCTTTATAAGTATTTGTTTTAGACATTTTCTTTTTCATATTGATCTTAGCAAGTGAGCTCCGTGAGGAATCTACGAAATTGGAGGTTTTCTTGCTTTCTCGAGAGTTAAGGACGGGCTGCTTTATAGCCTGGTTGTTATCATCAAAGTCTACAAATTCTTCCATTTCAGAAGCTCTCCTTTTTCGTTTGAGATCATTCTCTATCTTATCAATAGTATCCTGCAGGTTGTTGTCAGCAGTCAGGATCCTGGCAGATGAAGTATTTTGAAGATACGGATTTGTATTATCAAGCTCATATGACTTTTTCTCACTAGCGTTGTCAGTTTGAGTTTTAAAAACAGGAGATTTTGTAATTAAGTTATCATCTTCACTAATCTCCTTCAGCTTTTTGCATAAAGCATATGATAATCTTTGAGCATTCAATATAGAAGAGTCGCCACCAGGCTCTTCTGATCACTCAGGATATTGTGTGCACTCAGGAGAAAGTTCCGGTAAATCATCTTTAACCGGGAGTACCTCATCATCTCTTTCTCGTAATTTTTCCTCTAACTTCTGGATATACTTATCCTTTTCCTCAATAACAGAGAGTGCCATAGAGAGTTTGTCCTTATTTCTTGATATACTTAGTCTCTAGCTGCTCATACTTATTTATTTCACTCTGAATTCTGTTCTGTAAGAGTTTTTCAGGTCAGGACCATCTCTGAAAATGTAGAAGACAGAATATCATGCGCTTGGGTGCACTTCAGCAACCTTTTGTTAACAATTTCCTGATTAATATGGTCTATATTCGGTGCTTCATTCTCGATATTATCTGCTTCTAGATCCTCGATGATATCACCAAGCTTGTGCTGGTCGGCCATTTTGGAGTGAATTTATTAAAAATTAAACTTTTTGTAATATAAATTACGCGATAAAGGAGTGATAATTGGGGTTTTGGGGTTTTGGGGTTTTGGGGTTTTGGGG